TTGCTTATATAAGAACACGGTCTAGGTCAGGTTTCAGACAAGATCAAATAGTAGATCCATGGAATTAAAATTTTCAGGCCAGCTAAGTGGCACTTTCATTTCCTGATGCACACAGAGTAAGAACTAGTTTTATAATTCAGATGTCTTTGTTTAGAAGGAGCAGTGTTATGCCATACAACGGGTAGTTAGTTTGAAGATGATGCAGAGAAAACTGAGTGATGGAAGTCACTGGCATAGAAAGGTCTGGAGCTTTTTAGAAGAAACACAAAGTTCATAAGAACACAGATCATTACCATTTGCTCTGCAGAAGTCTAGACACCAACCAGGGTAAAGCCCTACTCTGCAATCCCAGTGCCTTAAAGGAGAAATTACTTCTATCCTTAACTGCTTACTTAGAAAGTCAGACAAAAGGCGGGAGAACTGATATAACTAGGCACACCAATCTGGCTACAACAGCTGGTTAAACCCTGATTTTCCTGAGAATTTGAAGCAATATGAATTCTTAATACAAAAAGAGCATGCACTTGACACACCTGTACTGGTACCTTCAAGACCAACTGAATTTAGGAAGGTATCATCACAGCAGATCATAAAGATTATTTTTTTTTTAATTGAACAGTAACTTTCTGCTCTTACTGCAATTGTATTATAATGACAGGGACATAAAAATAATCTGTCGTTTTTAGAGGTATCATGATCCAAGATTTAAAAATTAATAAAAAGACTTGTAACTTGAGCATTATCTCTTTTTTTCGTTGTTGTTGTTATTGCCATACTGCATAATCCATTTGTCTGAACTCAAAGAATCTACTAGAGACATTTAATAATAATTAAGAATCCTCTGAGGTTGATCCTTGATCTGAAGTGATGGAACTAGGTAGTTACCTATCAGAATATCAAGGTAAAATCCTTGTGATCTATTGTGATGACACCTTTCTGTTTAGGAAGACTTCAATCATGTTTGGGGCCCAGGCCCCAGTTCTTCTAGTGGCTTTACTGCATTCTTAATAATGAACTATTGCTGAATGAGGTAGAATTTGAATCAGCATCTAATTTTCAAATAAGTTCTGCTTCAAATATCTGGGTTCACAGTGTATCAAGACCAACAAGAACTACACTGGATCTTCTTCCCAATCTGCAAAACTAGCTAATTGGAAGGAAAGTTACAGATGCAACTAGCAGTTCTACATTTTAAAAATCGGCGCTTTTGTCATTGAATTTGTTGCAGCCTTATCTTCAAACCCAGTCAGAACTCCCTGCAGGTCCAGAAATGTGTCAAGATGCAAACTAAGCTGTTATCTGGGATGAAGAGACATTTAGAACTCCCTGTCTTGCAAAAACACTTCAGTTTGTTAGTGATACCTATAAGCATACACACAGAGCTAAATCAGTTTACCTAGGAAAAAAGATCACCCACAGCAGGATAATTATACAGATCCTTAGATCTGTAGACAGTCATGCTAAACAAATCTTCAACTTTTCACATTCCTTACATACTCTTTTATCAGTCTGAATTTGCCTACTCAGTCTCTGCCATGTGCAAGCAAGCCATCTGATATCCACCTACCCAAATTATCGTAGGATTAATTTTTTTTTTTCCTTCCTGATGCAAGTGCTTCTCAAGCTATGAGTGCAATTCAGTCATGCTGCCACAGAGGCCAGTCACACACCCCTTTTACCTCAGTCCTTGAACAGAAAAGGAGATAAACATCTGCTGTCAGTCCCACCAGAAGAGATGGATGGTGAGGACACATACCCTCTGTGCACGCTTTTCTCACAAAGCAGCAGCTGCATGTCATATAAGCTAAAGGCACAGGCAGCAAGACACATTCCAAATTAGGAACCTGTTCCCTGCCTCTCCCTTAAGCAGCAAAACATTGACAAATCGTTTTAACTTTATACTTTTAACAGCAATAATAGGGGGGGATTAGGTAAATTGAGGAACACTTTTGATTGGAGCCTGCTTAAGAATTTGATTTGGTAAGGAATTCTAGGGCACATCACGTATTATTGCCTGAACCCATGATTCCTCTTATGGACCAGCTTGTAGAAGGCATTTCAGAAATGGACATAAACAAGGCAGATCATGTATTTTGTAATACCCAACGTAAATCCACGTTTGACTTAAAAGTATTAAATATCTCACCTGACCTAACAGCCTTATCAAAAGCACTTATGCCTTCCCATAGGATGACTCCCTGGATAAATCCCAGAGTTAATAACCAGCAGATTACTAATGAGAACCATAACTCTACGCAACTTCGGCAAGAGGTTGAGCCAGCCACTGCCTCCTATAGATTAAGAGATCTCCAAAACTAGTCCCTACAAAGTGTAAGAGAAGAGTGCTGAAAGCTCAAAATGAGCAAGAAAAAGTAATTTTACTAGCGAATAGGCAAGAGGAGCAAACCCCAATTACTCAGCTTTCAGATTCCCCCACTGAGGAAAGCCAGCCCTTTGCTCGCATTTCTCACGTGCCATAAGAGACCCACCAAAAACGGCTCGAGACGTTTATTTAGAAAAGCCTTGTCCAGCCA